TGAAATTGAAAAACTGGTAAATTCTTCTTTTTTAATTAGAGAATCATGCTTCTGTCCTCAATATTAATTCTAATCTTTTTTGGTCACTTTTTATTATTTCTTAGAAGACAGTAAGAAATAGTAGCCCAAAATATTATGTCAAATGCTAGAGTTGAATATGTGGGAATGAGATAAAAGCAAAACAGATTATAGCTAAGAAGTTTGGAAAATGTTGCAAGGAATTTGTTCCATTGATTTTGAAATTCAGGGATTTAAAAAATGTAAATTAATTTCATCTAAAAGGCTCAAAACAAAAACCAAGAAGCAGCAAAAGCATTCCAAGAAGAAATTGACTTTTTTATTCATGATCTGGTGCAAATTAATTTTCTTTACATGTCACCTCTATAGAATGGATATAAAACATATACTCTCTGTATCAACCACTTAAGTAAAATCTCGATTATACTAATATTTTTATGGTAAATGTTTTCCAGCATCCATTCCCTCTTTCTCAACACACAGCAGTTCACTTTCTCCTTGCTGCCCTTAGTCTCAATCTTCCTTGACTGATTCACCTCCCAAAATCTTTTTGTTATTTTACATTAATCACACATTTGGAGTGGAAAACCAATTTTGGTAACTATGCTGCATCTGGTATCTAGATATGAAGTACCCATTCTCAAATTGATCATGTTCTAACATTCATTTGCTCTAGGAATCACTCCATTTCCCACACTCTTAATATCTTGTCCTTCCCTCCCTCCATTTGCTCACAGTGGATAAACCTAATCATTTTTATGAGTTCATTATCTGTATCATAAGTTAATATTGACTTGATTATTATTTGTGCATGTTGTAAATACATTTATGAAATATATTTAGTACAATTAATATTAACATCACCCCAGTCTTTATCAGGATCTGTGGAAAATGATAATAGTTGAAGAAAATCACACCTTCACATTAAGTGATCTCTAATTCATCAACCAAATTTTCAAATAGAATCTGGCACTCCTTTTGTCTTTCTCGATGATGTGACATGTCTTATATTCTGAAAGATGTTTGTTTGTTGATACTCTCTCTTTTCCCCTCTGAAACTTTCTCAAACATGCAAAACTTTTTTTAAGATTTATTTATTTATGCATACAAGAACTGGGGTACAGGCAAGAGGTGCGGTGGGTAAGAAGATTCACTAGAGACAGATTGGGGACAGAACAGGTGGATCTATTGAAAAACACTGCTGAGGGGAGCAGCGGACGAGACAGGAGAGGTCTGCTGTGCCATGTGGGTAGCTCCCTGGCAGTCCGGAGATGGAACTCGTGCTGCAGAGGCTGCAGATAGTGTCACAGTGCTGTGCTTAACCCCTTGTGCTACCAGGGAGGCCCCTGCAAAGCTTTTGTTAGTGCGCTACCAATGGGTACACTCGGACCCTCAAACTTGCATGTTTTAAAGGGTTTGGGCCTTCTGTGCATACAAAGGCAAAGAAAGCATACTTACTGTGAAAGAAATTTAATAGGATCAGTGTGCTTAGGAGAAAAGAAGAAAGGATAAGGCCTCCCTGGTGCCACAGATGGTTGGGATGTGGCCTGTGAGGCTGGCCATAGCCACTGCAGCATGGGTTCGATCCCCAGCCAGGGAGGTGAACCACATAGCACAGCAGACCTCTCCTGGCTCGCCTGCTGCTCCCCTCAGCAGTGTGTTTCAGTCAGTCTGCCTGTTCTGTTCCCCACTCTGTCTCTGGTGAATCCTCACACACAGTCACCCTCACCACCCCCCCACCCCTGGCACCTCTGTCCTGTGCCCCAGTTCTTATATGAATGAATAAATAAATCTTAAAAAAAAAAGAAAGAAAGGATAATTGCTTCCCAATAAAACATCCAAAATCACCTATTCCCTCGGGAGTGAATTCCCGGTCAAATAGGCTTGGCCCAAAACAAAGTTTCTGAGGCCTGAAAGTTTGCCACAAGTCTAAGGAAACTTCTGGCAAGGAACCATAGGAAAGGGGCAACAAATCTGGGATGAAAAACAAAATCAATGTGCATGCTATATAACCATTGCCAGCCTCCAAAATGTGTTCTCTCAACCCCATGTCTCTTTTAGGTGTCTCTACATGTGTTTCCTCCATGTCCCCCAGGTCCTTGGTGTAAATCCAGAACTGGAAAGGAAGAGAGGCCTTCTTCTCATCTCTCTCAACGCCTCTTTAGCCCTGATATATAGTTACACTTGGCTGCTCAGTTCCACCTCCAAGACCCTAGTAGCTAGTGCAAGGTAGCAGCATGTAAATAGGAGCAGGGAACATGGTACCTACCCCCTTTATGGAGATGCCTCTGTTTTACTTTTATTTCTCATTCTAAGTGGCTAATATAGCTTTATATTTCTTTAAAATATAAAAATTTTCTAAGATACAGATATCATAGTAGGTATCTAAAGAAATATTAATAGCAGATACATACTTAGCTGCAGAGTACTCAAACTTCTTTAAACAAATGTATTAAACACCACCTCTCATCACATTCTGTGCTTTCCTTCCTGTGTCTCTTAATTCATGCCAAAGGTTTCTCTCACTCTTGACCTTAGAATCATCTACGTTTGCCTTCTCAAAGACATTTAAGCTTACATAGTTGTCTCTGATGAATCACATTTTTATACCCTTTATTAGATGAATGGCATCAACAAAGTTCTAACATTTGTACATACTTTGAAACAACCAGATGCACAATAAAATTTAAATCAGTCTTTGGATATTTCCACATTTCTGGACTTACAGTCAAGGTTTTGAACATTTCTAGCACAAAAGCCTGCCTTGAGTACATTTAAAGAGTAAACATAAAAATATTTCTTACTGAGGTATTTCCAGCTTACTTCAAAAAACTGTCATAGCATTATATTATCTCTAAAATAATTTGAAAAATGCCAATACCTACTTATATTTCAAGTTTATCAACCTCTGTTCATACTTATTAGGCTCCCAAGACTATTATTACTATGCTCTTGTATTTCCTGACCAGGTTTTCTGAAGCTCATTCACTAATTAAAGACAACAGGATTCTTTGTGATGATTTCAATTTAATTAATATAGAGAGCTGAAGCTAATTAGTGTATTCAATAGTCAAATATATTGAACTGACAAACAAAATAATTATAAATATCAAAATATGCACTTTAATATAGTAAGTAAAGTTCTTCTATTAACAAATACTTACATTTCATTTTAAAATAGAAATAATTAAAACCAGTTCATCTGAAGAGATTCTAATACTTAATGAAAAAATATTTTTGCATTCTTTTCAAGTTTCACATTAATTATACCAGAGATTTCACGACAAGATACAAAAAAAAATATAAAACAAAACAAGCAACAAAATATAAATGAGTAAATTGAGCAGGGAAGGAAGATACTTTCATATAAAGCAGCTGATGAGGGAAAATAGAATCAGTTTTATTATGTAATAGAGGGATCTTAAATTCAAATATACTAATATTTATATATTGGTTCATCATTTTTTTTTTTTTAAATTTATTTATTTATACAAACACTGGGTACAGTCAGAAGCGCGGGAGGGTGAGAGAATTCACCAGAGCCAGAGCGGGGAGCAGAGCAGGCAGAAGGACCGAAGTACACTGCTGAGGGGAGCAGCGGGCGGCAGGAGAGGTCTGCGCGCCGTGCAGGACCCTCCTCCGGTGGCCGGGGAGCAGCCGGGGATCGAACCAGCGCTGCAGAGGCTGCGGGCAGCTTCGCAACCCAGCGCTCAACCGCTGCGCCACCGGGGAGGCCCCGGTTCATCATTTTTAAGACAATATAATCAGAGTCCCATGAACTCATAGCTAGACCATATACAATTACATGTATTGTTAGTTTGTGGGATCTGTGAATACAATCAGCAGAATTACTGTGCAAAAACATAAGAAACATTGAGAGAGGGAGTGGTTGTGCATTAAATATGTTGTTTAGAGCTTATTCTTCTGGACTGACCTTGATAAATACCTACAAAGTATTAAGTCATGTAATATGTAGGGGAAAAGCATTTCAAATAGAATGAAAAGCAACTGCAAATATTCAAAGCAGGAAAATGACTGGCATGTACAATGACCATAAAGGGAAATAGTGTGACTTGAGTAAAGTGAAATAAGTGATAGAGCAGTAAAAGAAATAACCAGAGAGGTTTTGGCAAGAGGGGCTTACACTCGTTGCATATGGCTCAAGCCATACCTATATCTATACCTGTATCTATACCTATACCTATCTATATTTTTATCTATATCTATATATCAATCTACCTATCTGCATAATGAGGCATTGAAATCTATGGAGTAACATAAAATTGGGAATGAGGATGGGATAGCAGGTTGGTGAGTGAGACATCTCTGCCATACTGTAGTCTGGTACACATTAAATATTATGGCACTCAATAGTAATTTAATAATATAATACTCTGAAAACTGTTGGCACTTCCCCACCATTTCTAGTTACAAGTTTCCATCTTAACATACATGTTTCAGATGATTTATTAGCCAGCCAGCCAAGTACATCTCTTTTCACTCCATTATATAACATGTGCTTCAGTCTAAATGAGCCATATTCTGTGCCATGTTAAATTCTTAAATACTAGAAGTTATTTTTCACCACTGCATATCTCCAGAGGCCCCAGATATATTTTATATTTCTATTGAAGCACATAGTATATCATATTCTATTTATCTTTGCTTTTTTCCCTTATCCAGGTGAGATTTTCTTCAAGATTAATGGCATTCTAGAAGATATTGTGGTGCCATAATCAGAAGATTCTTATTAGTTGTATTATCAGAAGCACACAAGAGTTCTCTTTTTCCTTTCTGCATTAGCTAATCTCTCCCTTGACTCAGTCTGAAAATGACAGTCACATTCCTCTGTAGCTTGCTAAACCCTTGTGGAATGTTAAAACAAATAAAATGTAGATGAAGTTGTGGGGTATCCTCTAAGAAAGTCTTGCTAATATAAAATGAGGATATGGGAAAATTCTATTCTTTATTTCCTCCTTTAGGTATTTCAATTAGCATCTGATTCTTGGAGCTTTTGAAAGCATCATACTTCTATGAAGATCCACATTTGGAAACCCTGAGGATGGTAGATTCAAGAGATAAGTACTTAAGCTTCTTATTTGTGAACTCCTGAAATAATACTGAATAATACTTAACTTTGATCTAGTCAGGATGCTAAACGATTGCCTTTTAATTCAATTTTGCTAAGTTGCTCACTCTTCATCATTTTGTCTTTATGGTTAGGAGCTTTACTATACAGAGAGTTAGCCTCTGACCATATATTGCTTTTAAAATTTAAATTAATTTAAATTCCATTGAAAGTATAGCTCCATCAACCTAGCCATATTTTAAGTACTGAGTAGCAACATATAGCCTCTGGGTATTGTAATGCAAAGTAGATAGGGAACAGTTCTGTCCTTCCTATAATTGTATCACACAGTGCTAGACCAGAGGTTTTATCTCTCACAGTCTCAATACAACTCTAGCTAATCTCTACGCTCAAACAATTATAAGAGGAATTCATGTATGTTTAATGTATCAGCATCATCCAATTCAACCATGATCTTGTCAGAAAATACATTTTTCCTACTAAGAAGTATAATTGCAGAAATAATTTTTTTTTGAAATGTGTGTGTAACCAAAAAACATCAAGCAACATTACCCAGTAAGGGATAGTGTGTTACATTTAAACTGATAAAGAAGTATTATGCATTTAACATGGTGTTCTTCATCAAAAAAAACATTCACCGCTGCATTTCAGTGTTCCCATATTGCCTGCATCTTAATAAAACTGAAGAAATGCTTCACCACCCGTTTGACCTTTGACCCCAAACACGTAGACAGTTTAATTGTAACCTTATAACCTTACTTCATTCTTGTAACAGGCCTTCCTCAACAGCAGGAATTGAACCTGTATTTCCAAATGAAAGAGAGCAACATGTGAATAGCTGGTGATTTAGTACTACAGGTGAGCAGCTTGTCAGATTCACCAGTCTTGTCTGAGTGTATCGAAGTAAAGTTTTGGTAAACCCCTTTGATACTAAAATGATAGTACTCAGTTAATTTTGCAAAGCCACCCTGCCTTATTCGTTTCTCAGTCACTTCCTCTCCCATTCAACTGTACATCGACATTATTATTTTACCATTTTGTTTTGCTCTGTGAGCATTCTACATGAGAATGTGCTAGCTCTCTAAGCAAGTGTACAGAATGTCTTCTGCAAATGCTTTAGTGGTCCTGTTCATCATTTTTCTCACCTTGTCATAGGTAACTACACAGTATCCACTAAAAAATGGCATCAGAATAACATAAAATTATTTCAAGAAAAATATATAAGAAAGCTATCACTAGGAAAATTATTTATAGAACCAAAAGTGAATATTTTTTCTAAAGATTTATTTATTTATTTATACAAGCACTGGGTACAGTCAGAAGTTGCGGGAGGGTGAGAGAATTCACCAGAGCCAGAGCGGGGAGGAGAGCAGGCAGACTGAAGAAATACACTGCTGAGGGGAGCAGCGGGCAGCAGGATAGGTCTGCGTGCCATGTGGGACCCTCACCCAGAGGCCGGGGATCAAACCGGCGCTGCAGAGGCTGCGGGCAGCTTCGCAACCCAGCGCTCAACCGCTGCGCCACCGGGGAGGCCCGAACCAAAAGTAATTTTGATGAATGACAACACAACCAAGCTAGATAAAGCAATTCACTACATTAAAAAACAGAATATGAAATCTTGTTAAGCAAATGGAATATTTCATTTTGTTGATTCATATCATTTGTAGATTTGTATATCCACATTCAAAATTGTGCTATGATCATTAGTTTGTTGCTATATTTTATTTACTTAGTTTTTATTTACTAGCTTCCACAAAATAGCTTCATAATATAAATTGGCAGATTTTGATTTCTATTTCACAAAATATTCCTGCCAAGTGAAGATCATGATGTTCATTTTTCACTTCAAATGCATATTTAGTTATTTCTTTCAGACTCTAGGCACCGTTGAAGTTTTATTTGCATTTCCTGTACACTTTTTCCGTACTGCTAAAGCTCTGTCTGTGAGCTCTGAAGCAGGAGATTCTCTCAACTTGCCTCTTGGACCCAATAAATCTCATACTTCAAAATATAGGTGGAGAGGCATTAACCTCTGATTTGTTCCCTTTTGAAATGATATATTAACACAGCTATAAACTGTTGCCTTCTCTTATGCATTGTTGTATCAAATGACACAGATACATCAAACCTGTAAAATCAGAGGAAACATGCATCTTAGCACTTAAACTTCTTTACTTTGCTTAGAATTTCAAAACACATCTATTCATAAATAAAACTTGCTATATAGCCTCACTCATACAGTGTTCTAAAGGCTAGAGTAGAGTTTTATCTTTTTGTCAATTTAATTACATCAATATTGCTTTCTCTTAAATGAAAATACATCACTTAAAAACACATTAGGTGAATTGGGAAATTAGGTGCCTTTGAAAATATATAAATAAAAGGACTATAAACACCAGTATCATTATCATAAGACAATGTAAAGACATTTCATTCAGATACAAGTTTTCCAATGATCATACACATATTGCATCTCTCCCATTGAAATGTGCAATCCCAAGAATATAGTAATATCAGGGTCTATTATTTCTGCTACTATAGATAATGATAAACATTATAACTCATATACAATGTTGATGTATGATATGATGAGAAAAGTAATTGGAGCTCATGATTCATAATTATGATGAATTCCAAATCAATGATATTGCCCATAGGCCAGTTAATGTTCTGCAATGAACATCTATAATAGAATTTCTAACAGAATTATTACTTTTAACATAATAAAAAGAATATTACAAAGAACTTTGTCACATGTATTTAGGGTCTATGTTTTCACATATCAATTTCTCAGTTCTTATTTTTGTTTTTCTTTGGTCTTTCCCTTATCCAGAACATATAGTAGAATTATGAATTAAACTCTCATAGTAATTTTATCCACAGATATGATCTCACTATGGTATCAAATCATGTGTTTTCCAATACTGCACATAAACATATAAACATACTTGATACATACTTGATGTCTGTAAAACATCAATATTTGAAAAGGATTTAAGGATGAAATATCTCCTTTATACTCTATAGGTGTGAAATAAAAATCCTGATGGTATGGTAAATACCAATGTGAGGTAACACTTCATTGTTGTTTAAATTTGCATTTCCCTAAAGATAAGAGATGATAAAGATCTTTTCATGTGCCTGTAGGTCATCAATTTGTCTTCTCTGGAGAAGCATCCATTCAGATCTCTGCCCATTTTTAATAAGGTTGTTTTTGTTGCTGACTTTTAGGAATTCTTTATATATTTTGGATTTATCCTTTGTCTGAGGTATGATTTGAAATTATCTTCTCGCAAAACTAAATCCAAAATGTTTCCCATAATATTCTCTTGATTTCTACTGTTGAACATGGTCTTAGCAGACTGTTGTAGGCTATACCGCCATAGATCTGTAAAAGATGAATCTTAGATGAACTTGTGGGGCCCCTTCATACATGTTTTGGTGGTTCATGATCCAAGGATGAGGCAAATCTTTTTTTTTTTTTTTTTTTTTTTTTTTTTAATGGGACCCTCGCCTGTGGCCGGGGATCGAACTGGCACTGCAGAGGCTGCAGGCAGCCTCGCAACCCAGCACTCAACCGCTGCGCCACCAGGGGAGGCCCGAGGCAAGTCTTTTATAGCAGTACAATCTTAGCAGCTTCACTTCAAGTTTTTGGTCCTCTCTGATGTTTGTTTGTGTTTTATTTATTCTATTCTCTGTGTCTTTTGCTTTATTAAAATTTTATGCAAGTGTACAATGTGGAGTTTCATAAGGAATTTCATTTATACAACTGTAGGTAATGTCTGCAGCCCATAATTTTTTATTTTTTAGTTAAGTTTCTCTAAGTCCCTGAAATAAAGACAGATACAAAGATTTTGAAGTGGGTCGATGCCCAGATATTCTAATAATTCTCATAGTAACACCTAACTACTGTCATTTTAATTGCTTTGAGTATAATAGAAGATTTTATAAAGTTTAGATTTCTGAATCAGAACTTTTTTTTTTTTAATTGAGGTAGCATTAATTTACAATTCTGTATGTGATTCAGGGGTCTCGACATTATATATGATTTCAATTCCTTATACTAAAAACAGAAAAATGCATTCTCTTCATTGGCTGACTACTGTTCAATAGATCATGAACATAATCCTCATCTAGAAAGTCAATAATCAACATCATAGTATCCGTATATTTTAGGTTCTAACCTATTATAAAGTAGTGACACCCTATCACTGGAAGGCAAATTAGAAGTCCTTAGCCTAGGTGACTCATTTTCTAAATGCAAAATCTGAAGCCTGAAAAAATTAATTGCCTTTTTTTTCTTTCATATTCCTACAACTGGTCATAATAATAGGTCACTTAAGTAATCTGAAATGTAATTTTTTTCCTCACCTTGTTCTTATAGCTGTCCTTCTTGTCACCGTCAGTCACTCTTACTAATGCCCCTGCAGTGCTTCTTAATGTCTAACTTTTCAGAAGTTAACACTTGCAGTCTGTACATATGAACATTTCGAAATATCATGTCTGATATTGCTCACTTTTAAACTGAAAAAGGAAAAGTCATATGGTAAAGATTATTTAGAGAAATTTTAATTTATAATTTTATGCCATTCTTACCTTGAAAGGAAGTGGCAATCAAAGCAATAGAAAATATGTTATTTAAACATTTTGCCCTGGGCCTCCCCTGGTGGCGCAGCAGTTGAGCGCTGGGCTGCGAAGCTGCCCACAGCCTCTGCAGCACCGGTTCGATCCCACATGGCGCGCAGACCTCTCCTGCCATGCCCACTGCTACCCTCAGCAGTGTATTTCATCAGTCTGCCTGTTCTGTTCCCCTCTCTGGCTCTGGTGAATTCTCTCGCCCTCCCATGCTTCTGACTGTGCTTGTATATATAAATCAATCAATCAATCAATCTTTTAAATAAATAAATAAATAAAAATTTTGCCCTATGGTTGTTAAAGCAACAAATTTTTTTTTAAAAATATCGCACTTTCCCTTAAATTTCAGCTGAATTTCAGATGTTTTTTTTCTTTAAAATTAAAGGATATTTGGGTTATAATTGGCAAGAATTTTTTTTATTATTATTTTTCAGAATGGCTCAACATTTGTAAGCACCCCTAAGATGAGAAAAGGTATAAAAAATGCCAGAAATAGTCTTCAGAACTATACAGTTTAACTAAATAGAGAAACTCATAAATTGGAGCCCCACTTATGAAAAGTTCCCTTTCCGGGACAAGAAATGGGAAGGACACACAAAGGAAAAAACCTGGTTCCCATTCTTGTACCTGAATTATTATAACCTTGGAGATAGCTTCATTTTTTAACCTTGGTTTTCATGAATATTTATTTTATATGATTCTATGAAGGTTAACCAGAATTCCTATTAAAAACTGACAGATTCAAGTTTCCATGAGTGACATTGACCTAGTCTAGGGAATTTCTGGAATAACTATTCATGTGATTTCCAAAGGAGACTATTTAATAACATACCCCAGAACATAACCATATCCTGTACTTCAGATTTGTCCTGTGTTATTACTATGCCCCCAAATGTTAAAGGAATATTTTTCTTCTTACTCATTATTAACAATCTCTCAGGATCCCTCACTACAACTGTGAGGAGGAATGCTCCTGGAAATTTCCCTCAAAATATCTCCTCAACATTTAGATATATCTGTATTCCGTTATTCTCAAGGTTGCAGATACAAAGTTTAACAGAACTTTATCATTATATCTATTTTATAGTGAATATTAAATTTAATGAATCTTACATCTAAAAATTTAACATTTTATAAACAAATATTAAAGTTCCTCTGCCTCATAATCTCATGTTCTAAAATTATATGAAAATCATTAAATAATGCAAATCATTTTTCAGTTGCTTATACAATGAAAATTAAACAAAAATAAAACAAATGTTGCTTGATATAATGTGAAATCAGTATGATCCTTATTTTGAAAAATGACAATATTCAAATAAACTGAACTAATTCTCTAAAATAGAAATAGCTCCTTTATGATTCTTTAAGGTGATATAACCTGAAAACCTTTTGAGTCATATAAGGATTATAGTATTAGCGACATTTTTATAGAAAATAGTAGTTTAATCCCACTAGATATTATTATTAAATCATTAATATATTAACATGGAAATGAGATAAGAGAGAAAGCAAAATGCAAATCAGCCCCTAATTCAGCCAATGCATCCCTGTTTCTTCAAGATAGACAAGGAGATCAATTAGTATGATGTATATGTAGAAAAGTATACTGAGAAAAGCATAATAAAAAATAATAATAGATATTGATGAAATAAACTATCGATCATTAGAAGAATGTTGTATAATATGACGTACAAGGAAAAAGGAGACTATATTGATATTTTACCCCTCATCTCATAAATCTTTGACTTGAAAAAATAAGTGTGGGGCCTTTAGTGAATGAAGATAAAGAAATCACAAGAGAAAACTAGATGCCAGTTATTTTTTTTTTTTCCCCCTTTGTTCATTAGCTGTTATTTTGGCCTGGAGCTTTCTTTACTTTCTTTGCTTAAGAAGAACTACTCATTCAGGAAGGCTAAAAATGTGACAGACTCCCAGGGACAATCAGCAAGGACCAACCTGCTTAGAGCTCTTGGCTAGTAGTTCAGGTCGAGAGAGGTCTAGTTGGGATCACCAAGTAGGAGTTCAATCTGGATTTAAGAGAATAATTTGTTTTAAAATATAAGAGGTGGACCTTTGTCTAAACTATCTCAGGTTGAAATTTATAAAGCCCAGGAGCACAGCAATCATAATGCAGGACAATCGAGAACCACCAGTTTCACCTGGGCATGCTTTATTGTACACAAATGTACTTTCTAAAGAATTTATTTTATCATCAAGAACCAAAATAAGGGCTTCCCCGGTGGCGCAGCGGTTGAGCGCTGGGTTGCGAAGCTGCCCGTGGCCTCTGCAGCGCCGGTTCGATCCCTGGCTGCTCCCCGGCCACCGGAGGCGGGTCCCGCATGGCTCACAGACTTTTCCTGCCGCCCGCTGCTCCCCTCAGCAGTGTACTTCGGTCCTTCTGCCTGTTCTGCTCCCTGCTCTGGCTCTGGTGAATTCTCTCACCCTCCCGCGCTTCTGACTGTACCCAGTGCATGTATAAACAAACAAACAAACAAATAAATAAATAAATCAAACATGCCTCTATTTAAAAAAAAAAAAAAAGAACCAAAATACTTACATCTAAATATGTCCTCCGGTGATATTCCTTAAAATGAGCAAAAGCAGGAGCTCAGAACTTCTCAAACTGACTGCTCATTATTTCTGAGGGTCCTTCACAAAGTATGCTTGAATCACAAAGAGATCTGCAGTCATCTTAGGTATGTCCAACCTTACTTCTTCCACTTTAGCAAGATGCTTAGAGAAACCTTAGTGTTCCCATTCTTCCACTCAGTCTTTTAAGTCCCAAGAGCATGCAAATTTAAATTGCCTGAAGTCTGCAAAAATGGTCTCCTCTTCTTGTGTCTAAAGTAGTTCTGCCTCTTTTCAGAGCATCAGAATCTCTCCTCAATATTTTCTTTTATTTCAATCATGATAACAGGGGAAGAAGTACTGGTTTCAGTATGAAGTATAATTCTAAATAAGATTTTCAGTATTGCTACTTTCCTAGTAATGTAAATATAGCCATATCAATTTATTAACTCATTGTAAACTCCATAGAAATAGGTTAGATACATAGACTTCATTTTTCTATTTGGAATAATTTTCAAACCATTTTATCCATCTATTTATTTTACAATTTAAAATAGCATTAATTTCTTAAGGAAACCCTTTACCGTTATTTCAAACTTCTGTGAAAATAACACCTAACCATCATACTGCATTGCTGAAATGTTTATATATGATACAAATAATAACAAGTCTACAATTAAAAATATTCTCACTTTTGGGCCTCCCTGGTGGCGCAGTGGTTGATCACTGGGTTGCGAAGCTGCCCACAGCCTCTGCAGCGCCGGTTCGATCCCCAGAGGAGGGTCCCACACGGCGCTCAGACCTCTCCTGCCGCCCGCTGCTCCCCTCAGCAGTGTACTTCGGTCCTTCTGCCTGCTCTGCTCCCCGCTCTGGCTCTGGTGAATTCTCTCACCCTCCCACACTTCTGACTGTACCCAGTGCTTGTATAAATAAATAAATAAATAAATAAACAAACAAACAAACAAACAAACAAACAAAACAAGAGTTCTTTAAAAAAAAAATTCTCACTTTCAAAAGGAAATAGGCTAAAATTGTATGTAAGTAATACAGACACTAAAACAAAAACTTAAAAAAACATATAATCAACAATTACATGATCAATATTTAGGAAATGTATTTACTACAATAATGTCATATCTTAAACACCAAACATTTATAAATAGCTGACTTTGTTATCCAATCTTCACATACTTTAATTCATTACAATAATTCAATGATGTGTATTATTTTACATATGAGGAAACTGAAACATAGGAATATTATGTAACTTATCTAAGAGGTAAAAGAGCTGAGGTTAACACCCAGATGGGTCTGTAATCTCAACCATTTGCCCTCTACTACCCATTTGTGATGTGCTTAAGTGCATTTTTTTCTTTTCTTAAAAATTTATTTGAGTAGAACTGGGGTGTAGGCCAGAGATGCAGAGGGTTAAGAGGATTCACCAGAGACAGAGAGTGGGGAGCAGAACATGTGGACCTACTGAAATACACTACTGAGGGGAGCAGTAGGGAAGTACATTTTTTTATGTGTTTCTATTAATTTTGAAATAGTGTCTTGGTGAGTGTAAAATATATTCTCAAAGTTGAAGTTAATTTATTAGTTTAGCTACCATTCAACAAATAAAGTCTATTGTTTTTTCAGACTGATTGAAAAGAATTATAAATTTGTAGAAAATGTATTAAATAAATAAACAGTTGGGAAGAATTATTCTTATGTCTACTACTACTTTTTCAGTTTACCTAATACTTGGTATAATTACTAGGAAAAGTGTCCCAAAATAATGTAACAAAGTTTGTCAAATTGATTCTAAATACTAGTGAATCACTTATAGTTTGCAATTCAATTTGTAGGATTTTGTGTTGTTTTGTTTTTTTGATAAGACATAACGTCATATAGAGGTATGATGAGTGTTCATTGCAACCCTGTATATTTTATTTGAAAATAATATAAAATATTTTCAAATGTATTTTTAATAAAATAAAATATTTTTGCTATAGAGAGTGTGGAGGATCAAATGACAGTGGCAAATGTCACAGTGGTTTGTAATTTATACCTTGTTTATTTATCATTTTGTTTATTCTCTTGGAAAAAGAATATTGTTCTTACCAAAAAATGTTTGTGGCTCGTAAGCATAGGGTCATTTTAAATTGAACTTGTGTTAAATGTCGGTGCTAGATAAACTTCTGCTCTCAAAGAGGCAATGGAAATTATGCAGGACCTAGGCCCTTCACCAGTGTTTCTTTTTTTTTCCATACTCAAATTAAGTGAAATTTCTTTAGAGATATTTTCCATTCTAACTGAAAAGGCAATACAGTATACAAAGGGTTTGATCGTTGATGTTCCACCCCAGCTTTTACAATGCAAATTAAGTTTTTGTTTTTATAGATGAACAAAGAAGAGGATAGACTTTGGTAGAAGAACCATTTTGTGTATACCCAATACATGAATGTCCAAGAAATATAAATAAAAGTGAGTAAGACTTTCCATGGCTAATAATCTTATACACGAGACAAAAGCAAGGTAAGTGGTGAAGCCTGTTGATCCCTGTGCATGAGAATGCTTTTTCCTCTCTCTTTTTTTTTTAACTCCTAGTTTATGGAATGTTTTCTAAAATAATTAAAATGGAAACTAAAATTGAAATATTTTGGAAGTGCCATTAGGAAAGAGTTTTTTTGAAAATCATTAATAGCTCTAAATATAGTTAAAGAGGTGTATGTGGTGAGAATAAACAGATATTGGTGAACTTTTAGCACATGATTAGGAATTTTTAACTTTTGTCCTTGACGCTCATAATAACATCTCATTTCTTTTCATCCTACTAGATTTTGCTCTTTTAGCTTTTTTCTGTAAACACCAATCACTTGAAATTGAATATCTAGAAGATTAGCCATTTCAAGAGTCATATGCCCTGCTTTACTAAAATATGCTAATGTAAAATATTCTAAGGGTTGTACTTTATTTTCTTAATCCTTTGCTCTTTTCCATTCAAGGCAAATGTCACCACTAAATACTGAAGTATTATTGCAGACATATTTTATACATACAGCAAACATTAAAAACTATGATTTAGTTGAATTTTTCTTACACTCCAAGATTGCTTTTAAAAATCATATAAGATTAACTCACATTTGTGACAGATTTATTAAGGACAAGTGATATATTAAATCCTTGGAAGTTATATTTTACATTAAAGGTAAATTAAAACCATAAATTAAATGTGTGCACAGATGAGCCTACTCTTGGCAAACAGTAATCAGGTACTGTTTAATTTTCCTGACTGGTTAGATTCATCAGGACCCACTGAGTCTCTAGTAATTTCCCACGTCCTCCATATGTCTGACACTTGCCCCTAAGAATCCGGTCTCCTTATAATCATAAAGCAATGCACATTCTTATATTAAGGAGAAAAAAATGGCATTGCCATCATTGCATCTTAATCTGGAAAACAAATATCTGCTGTTCTCTATAGTGACATATTTCTCATGTCGAACTTAAGAGAGAGGTTTGTTAGAATAAAGTCAGTCTCCACTTAAATCCTTAAATACTGAATAGAGTTTTGTTTGTAAATGTGTGCTTAAGTTTAAAACGTATAGACTTTTTAATAATAGTTTAGCTCCAGTTGGGTACATTTATTTTGTCAAAACACTTGTTATCTTGAGCATAGCTGAACCAACAGGACATCAAAATTAAAAGTTGCCTAAAGTTAAGGGCACAGTACATTAGCAAACAAATGGACCCCAATGAATGCTGCGTGATAGGCAGGAGGGGAGTTAACTGAAGCTATAGCAATGAAAGTCTTCAAGCTACCTTCAGAACAAAGCTACTGATTGCTCTTTTTATTTCTTCTTGTGACCTTGGGTGCCCTTGAATAAATCAGTGGTGTATTGCACTGATGGTAATCCCCTGCTTTTGAGGTTACACAGGGTACAGTGTGGCTAAGTTACATGTAGTTACCATATTAGCTCCTTTGAGAGGGTGACCTATTGCAATGCAGTAGTGTGTCACTTGGCAAGTTCAGCCAAACCCTTATGCATTATAATGTCATCCTTACCCTTCACTGTTAAACCCTTCCTTCACTGTTATGAAAACCTCTATAGCAGCTTCCACCAACTTGCTTCTGCTGTAGCTGCCTCCACCATTGCATCTGCTGCTCATAAAACTGCCACTAAAGTAGGAAATGCTGTGATGTCAAGTCCCTGATACTAATCTTCCATTGACTCTACTACTCTTAAAATATCCACAACCGTTGCCCATGCCACATTTTCTAATTAGGTTGGTACTTCTTTTGCTTCCACAAAATGGTCCAACAAATCCTTGGTAATATTCATGTTCCCCTAGCTACAGAACAAGGGAAAAAGCCAATTTCTTACACAGCCTGTATAGCCAGTGCATTTTGTGTATTCTTTGGTATCATTTTCAAGTTAAAATTGATAATTTATTTCATATTTGGTATTCAGTACTCTTGCTGGTACAACTGTAAATACTAGGATTGGACATATTCTGAAAGACAGATAGAGAAGGGCTCTTCTCTATCTCCCTAAGAGCAATCTCCATGGATGCTGGTACAGGCATATTCTTTATGGGTAAGAAATCATCCAGAGAATCTATATTCTTTTGGGGTCCACAAATACTAAGGTGAATGTTTGCCTGTTGCATTAAGGATGAAAGCAGAAATAATCATTTGTCTGACTCTCTGTGTGATAATCTGAAAGATAGAGTCAACTCTTCTTTAAAAAAAAAAGACTTATTTATTTATGCATAAAAGAACTGGGGTACAGGCCAGAGTTGTGGGGGGCGAGAGGATTCACCAGAGACAGAGTAGGGAGTAGAACAGACAGATTGTGAAATATACTGCTGAGGGGAGCAGCGGGTGGGCCAGTAGAGGTCTGCTGCGCCATGTGGGTAGCTCCCTGGCCGGGGATTGAACTTGTGCTACAGTGGCTGCAGACAGCCCCATAGGCTGTGTCTTAACCCCTTGTGCCACCAGGGAAGCTACTAGAGTCAACTCTTCTTACACCCAAAAGATACAACTACCTAAGAAATCATGAGCAAGTGTCTGTAAAACATCCTGGTCTGGTGAACTCCCTTTGATAGCTTAGTATCTTTTATCAACTTTTCTACATGTCAGAGTTTCAAAGATGAATCCAAAATCAGAACAGCTTTGTCTAACACCAACTATATTGAGAAGTCTGATCCAATATTTCCTCTTTCTATCATATTCAACCAGTCATCTGGAAAAGGCTTCTAATAAGTAGCATCCACTTTTTAAGTTCAAATCTGCTAATAGATATCAGCAGCACCATAAACAATGTAAGACTAATTCTAGATTGTTATGAAAATATTCTGGCTTCCTCATAAATCCACACTGCCAATTATTACATTGGTGATAATACTGAAGATACGAGGTAATGTTTGCAAAGCCCCTACCTTCCATTTTCTTTCATGAACATCAACATATCGCCTGGACCACCTGCATAGATCTGACTCAGGATGGGCAAGATAATGATACAGAGGTTGAGTGTAGAGAGTAAAGCTGGGAGAGTAAAGCTAGTAGAGGAATCTGGGTGTCTTGGCATTGGGTATGGGGTGGTAGCATAAACCTGAATAGGGTGGCTACTAGATTTTTCAAACTATGTAATGTTGTAAACCAATGTACCCTTTAAAAAAAAAAAAATCTAGGGGGCCTCCCTAGTGGTACAAGGGGTTAAGCACCGCACTATGAAGCAATCTGCAGACTCTGCAGCATGAGTTTGATCCCCGGCCAGCCAGGGAGCAACCCACATGGTGAGGCAGACCTCTCCTGTCTTGCCTGCTGCTCCCCTCAGCAGTGTATTTCAGTCAGTCTGCCTGTTCTTTTCCCCACTCTGTCTCTGGTGAATCCTCTCACTCCCCACAATTCTGGCCTGTACCCAGCCCTTGCATACATAAATAAATAAATCTTAAAAAAAAAAAAATCTAGGGCCTCCCTGGTGGCACGGGGTTTAAGTCTCAGCACTATCACACTATCACGGCTGTAGCCTCTCCTGAATTTGATCCCCAGCCAGGGAGCTAACCCACATATGGCGCAGTTACCTCTCCTGTTTTGCCTGCTGCTCTCCTCAGCAGTGTATTTCTGTAGATCTGCCTGTTCTGCTTCCCACTCTGTCTCTGGTGAATCCTCTCAACCCTGCACCTCTGGCCTACACCCCAGTTCTTCTATGCATAAATAAATAAAATAAATATTTAAAAAAATAAATTGACATATACTGATATTAAAAATAAATAAAAAGTGGCAAAGTTGAGATTTAAGCTATGACTATAGATCCAAAATCCTTCCACCTGCTCTTCACACTAAATTGAGACTCAGCCCATCGTATTGCATTGAATCCAATGAAATTATTTGATTTCATACATTCACCCCCCAAATATAACCAGTTTCTTTAGATCCCAGCTCAGAGATAAACAATTTCCTAACTACTCAAGTAACTTCTGTATCTCTAAGTTTAAATTTTAACTAGATATGATTTTGGGAATTGAGTTATGGGAAAACTTTTACCTAGGACTTTTATTTATGAACAGTATTTTACAAGAGATATCATTCCCTAGAAACTTTATATATCTATATTGTTAACACTATAACCTCTAAACAAATACATCAGACATATCTATAGAAAAGAATTTAATAAGGAATGGGTACTTTTTTGTTGCTGATAAAAATATAAACATAATTGTGATAAGATCTTGCCTTTAGGATAGTCTTTAGAAATAAAGTTTGAGAATTGGTTACTTTTTTATAGTGTTGTTACTGTAGTTAAAGTAAAAAAAAAAACTAGGCATAGGAACAAAAGTGGCATAATTTACATTACCAGTCTTTATTATACTCTAGGTTAATATACTATGATTAAAATCTAGCATTTAATTTATTTAATTTGAATGCCACAAAGTGTCATTATTATAGCACTTCATTAATACTAAATTTTTATTGAGTAATGTTTGAAAATTGCAATCATGTAGTAAGCCCTAGAGATTTTTAAATGAAAACCTATTTATTTTTTTCTTTAGTATTTGTATAGTCTATTGAGGAAAACATAATAAAATTATCATTTAATTGTAGTATATAAAATATTGTACTATATAAATGTAGATTATCAATGGCAGATAAATGGAAATATATGGAGATTGTGTATTAGCAGAAATAATACTTGGCCCAGCTTTTCTTTATCCTAATATGAAATCTTGAGCAAATGGTTTTGATCAAGTTCCTTCAATCACTGAATAATTAACCAATCGTCACAAATGTTAATATTTCCTAGGAACCCATTTTATGTAGAATCTGCTCTGTTTTCATGACTATAAAGATCATATTGAATGAAAAATGGAGTCTTAGAGGTATTACATAAAGAAAGCATTGCATCGGGCCTCCCCGGTGGCGCAGCGGTTGAGCGCTGGGTTGCGAAGCTGCCCGCAGCCTCTGCAGCACCGGTTCGATC